GGGGGATTTTGTGGGAGTTGAAGTCCACTCATCTTAAAGTGGCCAAGTTTGGACAACACTGCCTTAATGTAACATTTTGACTCTCCTTCTTTCAGGGGCTGGATGTGCAGCAAATGCAAACATATACCCCGCTTGGTGCTTCAAAACAGCCCCTCCAAGATCCACCCCCAAGGAAAACCTCCTCCACGGAATAGACGCCTTTCTTCCTCCGGCTTCTGGACCTATTTTCCCGGCCCCTGCTCTTTGCCACGAGGAATTCAACGCCGGGAGTGAAGCAAAAGATCAGATGGATCTTCCGGTAGCCTCTTTTCGGACTCACAAGCGGCCTTCCAGAGCGTCCGCTTTTGGAAATGCCAAGGGGCAGCCGACGAAGTGAGCTGCGAAAGTGTGTATGGGGGGGGGGGGTCTGTTCATGAAATTGGGGGATCCGGAAAGGGGTTACCAAACTCCCCCTGTCTTTTTGCTGCTGTAGAGTCACACAGCTTTCTTCCTACCGTCGAGGAGGGGGAATGTCTCTTTCTCGCTGCGTCCAGGGGTCGTTCCGGGCTTGCACGGCTTCTGCTTTGCTCAGCGCACTCCCTCTCTTTGCTTGCTTATTCTGGATGGTGGTTTTTTGGGGAGGGGAGAGTCCAACCCCCCAAAGATTTCCTTGACGATGGGAAGGTTCGCCCCACGGGCCGAACCAGCACTCCATCCGCCATAGGATGGTTTGTACAACGCTCAACCTTTGCTTCCGAGCGGCTAAAACCCAGTGTTGTCTGTATCGCTCGATTAGGTTTTGCCAGTTTTAATCCTCTGCCCAGAGCCACTGCCGTGAGAGGGGCATCTGTATAAAGTGTTTAAATAAAGAAATCAACAAATCAGAGCTCTGGTCTTGGATCTGGCAAGAAATCTCTCTCATGGGCATGCCAACTTGCCCTCCCGAACGTAAGCAACCGAGGATCCGAAGATGAGGCTCGCAAATATATGTTGTTTTCATTGGCGGTGCCGGAGAAGCGTCGGAATGACATAGATCGGTTGCCACAGGATCGAGCAATCTAGCCATATTTCTAGCCTTGTTTATCCTGCCCTCCTTACGCAGTAATGCCACCTTGAACGCTACGGGCATCTTTATTCACCGAAGCCCTGATTTCTGCCCTTTCTGGCTGCAAACCGAAGCTTATTCAATGGCACAGATTATGAAATACATGGGATTTTGAATGCGGGGTGACAGGTTGCATTAAGCCAAATTTTTTTGAAGCATCTACATCTGGGAGGGTTCATACCTCAACGAGGTTGTGTTTCGTGAGCTCTTTGAGCCCCAATTAAACAAGCCATGTTAAGGTGAGGCACAGCCCAGAATCAACTGAATTTAAAGGCAAGCAAACATCGGGCTTTTGTATCTGTAACTCTGCTCTTTCTGCCTTCCCTAGTTTTTTAAATTCTCCTTTTCCCTTAAGTTGTACCTCCTGTACTTTATGGACGGATAAAAAGATACCTGGCTCTTCAAAGACCAGTACACTGGCTTGCATTGAGGCAGTTTCAGAGAAATTGACCCGAGCGATAGGAAATTGGAGGCGGAAGTGGTTAGAGACGGAAGGGGTCAACTGCATTGGGCTGATACAGGAGTTTCTATTTTCAGACGAGAAGAAGATTTCTTGCTTTAAAACGTTGGTAAGCTGGACTGGTAGAAGGGTTGCGATGCACGCGCCTTACGGGGCGAAGAAACGGACCGAAAAATCAGCATGGCAAAAGAGAAAACCACGAGACACCCATTCCCCAAAGTCTAAAACTCTTTCAAAGCAACAACCCCCCCCCCAAAAAAAACCTGTAAAAAATAAAAGCCGTCGTGTAGAGAAATCCACCGTTCTTATTTGGACTTTTCCTACGACGGCACTTTTAGACGAATCTGAAAGTCCTGCTGGGGACGGAGTATGTGGGCGTGTTTGTGGGTGGATGTAGAAAGAAGAAGAAGAAGAAGAAATATTTTCCTGTGTCCACCGCCATCCTCTTAATCCTGTTTTTCCTCCTGAATCCTGGTTATTCCTGGTCTTGTGGACACGGAATTCGAGGATCAGGGATCGCCCGATCTTAGGCCCCTCTTTCTTGAAAGATGGAGGTTTCTCCTGGACCTCCTGGAGAAACTTCCCCGTTTCTGTAAAATGGGAAAAACGATTTAGAGGAAGGAATTCTTTTTTCTTTTTGGACTTTCAGAAGGAAATTCGTATCGAGGGAAAGGAGAGCAGAGTCCACCTGAGTTACTTGGTGGGGTTGAATGTTAATTTGCAATCGCCTAATAAGCGCCCCGCGGCTGAAAAGAGAGGCCCTGCGTGGCAAGGCTGGTTTTCTCGAAAGGAAGCGCCGTGGGTTACGGCGATGTCATCGAAAGAGCAGAGAGGCGGTTAGCCGTGGAAACTTGGTTTTCCTCATGCCGGTTTTATGGCAAGCTTGAAGAGGCAGAACGGCAAGAAGCTCCAGAGGAGCAGAAGAAGGGGGAAAGAGAGAAAGAACCGAGGAAGCTGGAAGGGCCATAAGAAAGGAAAAATAGAAGGAATCGGGGGGGAAGAGGAAAATGTAAAGGAAGTTACAGACCGAAGGTTTGGGGTGGGGTGAAAAAAATGGGTTTTTGACACTCTTCCCAGCAGGGATAAGGACAATTAGGAGGACAATTTTGACCGAGCTCTCTAAAGTCACATTGTGACGCTCCTCTTTCTATCACCTATCTTAATCGTCCAAACCATAAATCATTTTTTAAAAATTTTTACACAAAAAGCCAGCCATGGAA